AGGAGGAGAGGAGGAGGAGGAGGAGGAGGAAGAGGAGGAGGAGGAGGAGGAGGAGGAGGAGGAGGAGGAGAGAGGAGGAGGAGAGGAGGAGGAGGAGGAGGAGGAGGAGGAGGAGGAGGAGGAGGAGGAGAGAGGAGGAAGAGGAGGAAGAGGAGGAGGAAGAGGAGGAGGAGGAAGAGGAGGAGGAAGAGGAGGAGGAGGAAGAGGAGGAGAGGAGGAGGAGGAGGAGGAGGAGGAGGAGGAGGAGGAGGAGGAAGAGGAGGAGGAGGAGGAGGAGGAAAGGAGGAGGAGGAGGAGGAGGGAGGAGGAGGAGAGGAGAGAGGAGGAGAGGAGGAAGAGGAGGAAGAGGAGGAAGAGGAGGAGAGGAGGAGGAGGAGGAGGAAGAGGAGGAGGTGTAGTTCTTACCGTTGGGCAGTTTTCTGATCGTTTCTGCATCAACTCAAACGTTTCAGTCTGAAACAAAAAGAAACACAAATCACTGTGTGTGTAGTTGTGTAGTTGTGTGTGTAGTTGTGTGTAGTTGTGTAGTTGTGTGTGTAGTTGTGTGTGTAGTTGTGTGTAGTTGTGTGTGTAGTGTGTGTGTGTAGTTGTGTGTAGTTGTTGTGTGTGTAGTGTGTGTGTGTGTGTGTGTAGTGTGTGTGTGTAGTTGTGTGTGTTGTGTAGTTGTGTGTGTAGTTGTGTGTGTGTGTGTGTGTGTGTGTAGTGTGTGTGTGTGTAGTTGTGTGTGTGTGTTGTGTAGTGTGTGTAGTTGTGTGTGTAGTGTGTGTGTGTAGTGTGTGTGTGTGTAGTGTGTTGTGTGTGTAGTTGTGTAGTTGTGTGTGTAGTTGTGTAGTGTGTGTGTGTGTGTGTGTAGTGTGTGTAGTTGTGTGTGTAGTGTGTGTAGTTGTGTTGTGTTGTGTAGTGTGTAGTTGTGTAGTGTGTGTGTGTAGTTGTGTAGTTGTGTGTGTAGTTGTGTGTAGTTGTGTAGTTGTGTGTGTAGTTGTGTAGTTGTGTGTAGTTGTGTAGTTGTGTGTGTAGTTGTGTGTGTAGTTGTGTAGTTGTGTGTGTAGTGTGTGTAGTTGTGTGTGTAGTTGTGTGTAGTGTGTAGTGTGTGTGTAGTTGTGTGTGTAGTGTGTGTGTAGTGTGTAGTGTGTGTGTAGTTGTGTAGTGTGTGTGTGTAGTGTGTGTGTGTAGTGTGTGTAGTTGTAGTGTGTAGTGTGTGTGTGTGTAGTGTGTGTGTAGTTTGTGTGTGTAGTGTGTGTGTGTGTGTAGTGTGTGTGTAGTGTGTGTAGTGTAGTGTAGTGTGTGTGTAGTGTGTGTGTGTAGTGTGTGTAGTTGTGTGTGTGTGTAGTGTGTGTAGTTGTGTGTGTAGTGTGTGTAGTTGTGTGTAGTGTGTAGTGTGTGTGTGTAGTTGTGTGTGTAGTTGTGTAGTTTGTGTGTGTGTGTGTGTAGTTGTGTGTGTGTGTAGTGTGTAGTTGTGTGTGTAGTGTGTGTGTGTGTGTAGTTGTGTGTGTAGTTGTGTGTGTAGTTGTGTGTGTAGTGTGTGTAGTTGTGTGTGTATGTGTGTTGTGTAGTGTGTGTGTAGTGTGTGTGTAGTAGTGTGTGTAGTTGTGTGTAGTTGTGTGTGTAGTGTGTGTAGTGTGTGTAGTTGTGTGTGTGTGTGTGTAGTGTGTATTGTGTGTGTGTTGTGTGTGTGTGTGTAGTTGTGTGTGTAGTGTGTGTGTGTAGTGTGTGTAGTGTGTGTGTGTGTAGTGTGTGTAGTTGTGTGTGTGTGTGTAGTGTGTGTAGTGTGTGTGTAGTGTGTGTGTGTGTAGTGTGTGTAGTTGTGTGTGTGTGTAGTGTGTGTGTAGTTGTGTGTGTAGTTGTGTGTAGTTGTGTGTGTTGTGTGTAGTTGTGTGTAGTTGTGTAGTTGTGTGTGTAGTGTGTGTGTGTGTTGTGTGTGTGTGTGTAGTTGTGTAGTTGTGTGTGTAGTTGTGTGTGTGTGTGTGTAGTGTGTGTGTAGTTGTGTAGTGTGTGTGTGTATGTGTGTGTGTGTAGTTGTGTGTGTAGTTGTGTAGTTGTGTGTGTAGTTGTGTGTGTGTGTAGTTGTGTGTGTAGTTGTGTGTGTAGTTGTGTGTGTAGTGTGTGTAGTTGTGTGTGTGTTGTGTGTAGTTGTTGTGTAGTAGTGTGTGTAGTGTGTGTGTGTAGTTGTGTAGTGTGTAGTGTGTAGTTGTGTGTGTGTGTGTAGTGTGTTGTGTGTATGTGTGTGTGTGTAGTTGTGTGTGTGTGTAGTGTGTGTAGTTGTGTGTGTAGTGTGTGTAGTTGTGTAGTTGTGTGTAGTTGTGTGTAGTGTGTGTAGTTGTGTGTGTAGTTGTGTGTGTAGTTGTGTAGTGTGTAGTGTGTGTGTAGTTGTGTGTGTAGTTGTTGTGTGTGTAGTTGTGTGTAGTGTGTGTAGTGTGTGTGTGTGTGTGTGTAGTTGTGTGTGTGTGTAGTGTGTGTGTGTGTGTAGTTGTGTGTGTAGTGTGTGTAGTGTGTGTGTAGTTGTGTGTAGTGTGTGTGTGTGTAGTGTGTGTGTAGTTGTGTGTGTAGTGTGTGTGTAGTTGTGTGTAGTGTGTGTAGTGTGTTGTGTAGTGTGTGTGTAGTTGTGTAGTTGTGTGTGTAGTGTGTGTAGTGTGTGTGTGTAGTTGTGTGTGTGTGTAGTGTGTGTGTAGTTGTGTGTGTAGTGTGTGTGTGTAGTGTGTGTGTTGTGTGTGTGTGTGTAGTTGTGTGTGTGTGTGTAGTGTGTGTGTGTAGTTGTGTGTGTAGTGTGTGTGTGTAGTGTGTGTAGTGTGTGTGTGTAGTTGTGTGTGTAGTGTGTTGTGTAGTTGTGTAGTTGTGTATGTTGTGTAGTGTGTGTGTAGTTGTGTGTAGTTGTGTGTGTTGTGTGTGTAGTTGTGTGTAGTGTGTGTGTAGTTGTGTAGTGTGTGTTGTGTAGTTGTGTAGTTGTGTGTAGTGTGTAGTTGTGTGTGTGTGTAGTGTGTGTAGTGTGTGTGTGTAGTTGTGTAGTGTGTGTAGTGTGTGTGTGTAGTGTGTTGTGTAGTTGTGTGTGTAGTTGTGTGTGTGTGTGTGTGTGTAGTGTGTGTGTAGTGTGTGTGTGTAGTTGTGTGTGTGTGTGTAGTGTGTGTGTGTAGTTGTGTGTAGTTGTGTGTGTGTGTAGTTGTGTGTAGTGTGTGTGTAGTTGTGTGTGTGTAGTGTGTGTAGTTGTGTGTAGTGTGTGTGTAGTGTGTGTAGTGTGTGTGTGTGTAGTTGTGTGTGTGTAGTTGTGTAGTGTGTGTATGTGTGTATGTGTGTAGTGTGTGTAGTGTGTGTGTGTGTGTGTGTGTGTGTAGTGTGTGTAGTTGTGTGTGTAGTTGTGTGTGTAGTTGTGTGTAGTTGTGTAGTGTAGTGTGTAGTGTGTGTGTAGTGTGTGTAGTGTGTGTAGTTGTGTGTAGTGTGTAGTTGTGTGTAGTTGTGTAGTGTGTGTGTGTAGTGTGTAGTGTGTGTAGTTGTGTAGTGTGTAGTGTGTGTGTAGTGTGTGTGTAGTTGTGTGTAGTGTAGTGTGTGTGTAGTAGTTGTGTGTAGTTGTGTGTGTAGTGTGTGTGTGTAGTGTGTGTGTAGTGTGTAGTGTGTGTGTAGTTGTGTATGTGTGTGTGTGTAGTTGTGTAGTTGTGTAGTTGTGTGTAGTTGTGTGTGTAGTTGTGTAGTTGTGTAGTTGTGTGTGTAGTTGTGTACTCACGGGGATGGCTGCACTGATCGTGTCTCTGGTGGAAAAATATCGAGTCCAAATCTGAACAGAAACACAAAGAGATAAACAACAGCTCCCTGTGCTGACCCGCTCCCCCTGCAGAGCACCAACACACACACACACACTCACTCTGCTCTCTGTGCTGACCTGCTCCCCCTGCAGAGCACCAACACACACACACACACTCACTCTGCTCCCTGTGCTGACCTGCTCCCCCTGCAGAGCTGTGTACAGTTTTGTGTCATGCTTTTGTGTGTTTATGGAGAATTGTGGTGTGGGAACATGGGGGCGGAGCCTCGTACAGACTCGTACTGTGGGAGTGTGGGGGAGAGATCTCTAGATGACTCAGACATGGACGAGTGTAGAACTTCTGCAGGTTTGTGATGAGGAACGATGTTAGAACATGAGAAACAGAGACAAGAACATCTGCTCTGTAAACGACAGGAGTGTGATGGAGACACATGATTCTGATCTGCTGGACCTGCTGGACCTGAAGGACCTGCTGGACCTGAAGGACCTGCTGGACCTGAAGGACCTGCTGGATCTGCTGGACCTGAAGGACCTGCTGGACCTGAAGGACCTGCTGGACCTGCTGGACCTGCTGGACCTTCAACTCAGAGCTCAGTGTGCTGTGGGCGAGTCTTGGTCCAGGTTCTCCTCTGAGTCTCACCTGTGAAATCTCTGCTCCCGTTTTGTCCTTCACCAGGTCCAAGTTCAGGATGGAGTCCAGAGTCTGAGGAGAAAAACCAGATCAGAGACCAGACCAGAGACCAGACCAGAGACCAGACCAGAGACCAGACCAGAGACCAGCCCTGGTCACACACAGAGCTGGAGTTGTGTTTGTTTCATTCACATGTTTCACACACACAGTTCTTCTCTCAAACTGAAAACACTCTGTTCCACTTTTTGTGATGTCATCATGTGGTGATACAGGAAGTGCTCCACTGTGTTTTTAAACTCCACACACCTTCACTAGAATCATCTGGATCATTTCAGTCCTGTAGATTTGATCTTGACTGAACTAAAGAGAAAAGGAGCTTAGAACTTGATGACATCACGAGGTGGAACAGAGTGTCTGGAGTTTTGCAGATGGAACAGACTCAGAACAAACAAACAAACAAACAAACAAACAAACAAACAAACACAAGGAACAGATCTGAGTGTGACAGGAACATCACAACATCAGAACAACACAACATTAGAACATTAGAACAACACAACATCAGAACATTAGAACAGTAGAACATCAGAACAGTAGAACAGTAGAACAGTAGAACAA